ACGTTCAGCCACTGGTCCTCGGTGAAGCGCTGGGCCGTGGACAGCACCGTGAAGAAATCCGTGGCCACGGCCCCATCGACCTCGGTGACAGGACCCGGCTGCGGGCACAGGGGAGGGCGGGGCACCCTTGTCTCCGACTCAGCGCGGTGCATACCCGCCGGCTTGGAGCCAGGAACACGGCCTCCGTCAGGCCTGTGACCTTCACCAGCAGGTCCAGGCCTCCGTGACCCTCAGAGCGCCGTGGCCGAGGGCTGTGGCCCACTGTGACCCACCACTCTCCCCACCCCCACCACGTGGAGCCACGGCAGGTGGAGGACAGGAAGGCAGGGGACCTGAGGGCAAGGCTGGCGAGGTGTCCTGGGACCCCGGAGGCCGGAGGCTGAGATCCTCCACTCACCTGCCGGGCCCGGGGCGTGAAGAAGCCCCCGGAGGAGTGGGGGAGCCCCTGCGGGACGCTGACGTAGCGCAGCCAGTCCACCAGCCTCTTGTTGAGCAGGTTGGCCTGGTCTGCAGGGGCGGGGACAAGGCCGAGGGGAGCAGGTGAACCCCACACTCAGGCCGCACGGGCACTGCTAGTGTTGCTGGAAGGCAAGCAGCCCCGATGGCCACTCGGACACAGCGACCCGTCCCGCCCCCTTCCCGCCTGCGCTCATCTCTATTCTGGGATGGGCCAGAAGCTGCTTTTGCAGGAAGGGGTACCTTCATGGAAGGTGCCGGGGGCCAGGCTGGCGACCTTGGACACGACTGGGAGGAGGGGCCTCAGACTCGGCCCCTCGGGCTGCCGGCTCTCGAGGACTTTGAAGACGCGCTGGCCCACGTTTCCGACCTGCTTTCTGTCGCCCTGCCAGTCAAACCAGGTGGGCGTGAGAGCCCAGCGACATCTGGGAAGGGGACCGTCCACTCTGCCAGCATCATCGCTCTGCGGCTGCCTCTTACGGACTATTCATGTCGCCACGGCAGCCCCGGGCCTGAGTTACCTCCACCACCTCCACCGTGTCCGGGCACTCCGCGTCTAGGAACCCGGGGAGGGGTCACGGGGACGGGGAGCTGGGGGGAGGCAGGGGCAGGCGTTTCTGCCGGTCGAGCATCCATGCGCTGGCCCCCAAGGCCCCCATAAAGACCGGTGAATGGAGGGGAACCCCAGCTGAGCCCACCCGCATGGGGACCGCTCACCGGCCTGCTGCTTCTCCCGGGACCCAGGGCCACCAAGGGCCGGCGGTCGGCCTGGGCGGTGA